ACACCAATAGTGAAAGAGAAGGGAGACGGGGTCATCCTAATTCTTTCTCAGAATATGATGCAAACATCATGAGAGCTATCGCAAGAACATTTATAAACAAGGATGTGGAGTAATGTCAATAAAAACAGGGTAGGGGATTTCATAACCAGTAGCGTAGTAATGGGGGCACATGCAGGCAGGACACGGCCCTTAACAAATATTAAAGGGCGAAAAAAGAAAGAAAACGAGAAGATAAAGAGAGAGAGAGAGAGAGAGATAATCCCCTTATTTAATGATCTTGATTGTTTTTTCCCCCACGGGCAAACATTCTTGGGAATTGGGATCTTCACCCCCCCTCCCCCACATTTATTTTAGCGCGTAGGAATGGTTTGAACAAAATGTATCCCACAGCCTCGAAGGACGATAATTATTTGTAAAATCAATTATATATATTGTGATAAAATTCATATAAGTGTCTCTTACAGTAGTGAAAATGTTTCTTTCAGATGATATAAATAATAATAATAATAATAACAATAATAATAGGCATTTCTATAGCGCCGTCTCTCTAGAAATTCTATTCCGATGCGCATTTTTAAAAAATTATTACCCCGGATTTAGCCCACCTGCCATTACAGCGCTCAAGCATTTCAAGGAATTAATTCCTGCCAGGTACCAATTTACACCTGGGTTGAGTGTGGCAAATGTAGATCAATGTCTTGCCAAAGGACATTAGTGCCACGGCGGGACTCGAACCGCGGACCTTGTTTAGAATATCCTGTAATGAGTCAATTTCGTTGGCATGTGTGCGTGTGATTTTGTATCTGTGCCCGTGTGTGTGTTAATTAACGCAAATAAAATAATAACAACGACAAACAACAACAGCAGCAGCAAAAACGAACGAAAGTCATTTTGCATTGGATTTATAGCATATAAATCCTTCATTAAACAATATTTGATTTTTCAAGCTTTGATTTCTAACATAAAAAACGCAGAATACGAATCTTCAAACGTATTCTCTCACATGAAGATTTCGCAAGCTATTAAAATATTTACTTTAGCAATTGCAGACACCAAAAGGGAAAGAGAAGGGAGACGGGGTCATCCTAATCCTATTACAGAACATGATGCAAACATCATGAGAAATATCGCAAGAACTTATGTAAACAAGGATTTGGAGTCATGTCAATACAAAGGGAAATGGAAACCAGTAGATAAGAAAGGGGGCACATGCAGGCAGGGCATGGCCCTTAACCAATATTAACGAGCGAAAACAGAAAGAAAACGAGAAGATAAAGAGAGACAGAGAGAGAGATTGATTATCCCTCTATTTAAAGATCTAGATTTAAGGCGAGGGGACGGCCTGTACAAATATACCCCCACAGTCTCTAGGACGAAAATTATTTGTAAAATCAATCATATATTTTTACAAAATGTATATAAGTGTCTCTTACAGTAGTGAAACTGTTTTTTCAGACACTATTAGTATACTAAAAATAAATTTAGAATATTCTGTAATGAGTCGATTTCGTTAGCATGTGCGCGTGTGATTTTGTGCCTGTGTCCATGTGTATGTTCACGCGCAATGAAAACAAAAACAACGACAAACAACAACAGCAGCACAAACAAACGGAAGTAATACAAAAAGGAAACTCGGCACCAGATTACGATCAACACCCTTCTCCTCGGAAACCATTAAGACCAACCCCCCCCCCTACCACCACCACCTCTCATCCATGAAACCAGGGCGCGCGCCTAATGTCTGGACCTACGCCACTCTGTATAAATAAAACCACGCGACAACATAGCATCCTACTTCTAGGTGGTTTCATTCGGGGATGCGGGAAATTAGCACCATTGATTAAGAATCCGATCGCCATTCAAAAGCAGATAAGCATGAAATAACAATTGAGCGAAGATCCACTGAGAATGTGTTGATAAACTAATCTGACGTTTGCTCCTAGCAGTTGACTTCGAGTTCCTTTATGTTTATGTTTTTTTTTCCTTTTTAATATCGCAATGAAGTTCGACGACATTTTGACGACTGTTGGCGAGTTTGGAAAATATCAACACCGTCTTTACTTTATTCTTGATGTTTTCAAGTTTACGATTTCGTGGGCTGAGTTGATATATATCTTTATCGAGGCTCCCGTCAACCACTGGTGCGCGGTAAGTATCAAAACAACTTCAATTTATCAACTCTTGATGTGCAACGGGGATCTTTTTGTTTGTTTCGAGAGTTTACGAAAATATGAACGATCCTTACTTTCCAAATGTCTCCACTTCTTTAACCATTTCGGATATTTCAGAATGTTGCGTACCAAAGTCTTACGAAATCTGTCATCCTCTGTAATAATACAAAACATTGCATGTTTAATATAATTACTGCATGAAAATCATTGCCCAAAAAAGAAAAGAAACCCGACTCATAGTTCTTTACTCTTCTGTTTCCCATTTGACTAATGTTAAGTAGAAACAAGACATGGATTTCGAAACCGACACGAATTAGGTGATCTGTAAAAGAAATCTGTAAAAGTATAATTATTTTTTTCTTCAAATTTCAATGAACCTTCTCTTTAACATAGTGCCACTTTAAGGTACTATGTCCCATATTATGCAGACGAAAAAACTGAAAAGGTTCAATTCCAACGGCATTTGAATGTTAATATTAATTAGAAATTCCCTCAAAACGAAAGGTCTTGAAAATGTCTTTAAGTGGGAAATTTTTAATTACCATTAGTTGTCGAATTGACTTTAGCGATTGCCATTGCTAAAGTAATAGTCGGATTTTCAAAACCTTGTACCGAATAGTCGTACGTTTTGTACTGCACAAAGATTCTATCAGTTTAGTTTTTGCCATTAGGTAGTGGGTTATTGATGTAGACAAATGCTCATGTACCTGTTACAGCTCATTTTATGATGTTATTACCAAAGAAAAAAAGATGTCAGTGAGTCACTCAATAGTGTCTGACAGCTAGCGAAGTTAAGAAGGTAAACGGATTTCCTTGCATAATTTGATATTAGGACACTGCTAAAGTTCACAGATAGGACATATAAGACAAATTCATAGTTCCTGCAAAGTTCTACACAACTTGATTTTGGCTGCAAAAGGGACATACATATAGTTTCAAATAAGGTAATATTTGCTGTTGTTCTTTTGTATATATCTCGTCTATCGCTAATATGATGTCTCCCATATTTTGTTATATTGCAACTGAGACCTAATTCTACAAATATATAATGAATTAATTTTTGATCAGAAGACTGTTTCGTGGTCGAAATTCATATTTATGGTGAAGACTGCAAACCCGCCATTATTGTTTTTACATGTACGTGCTATCTTCTATTGAGTTTGTGTTATATTTTCGCCATGGATGGTCTACTCTACACGTTTCAGACCTTACTTGTACGTGTTATACGAATGGAGGATGGGATTATTTTGCAAAGTCTGAATTTCTCTCTGTCTCTGTGTTCTTAGGTGATAAGCTGCGGAGTGTAGCAAATCACCTAATGAGTGTAGTCTTTCAACATTCTATATATATATATATATCTCTCTCTCTCTCTCTCTTTCTGTCTATATCTCGATCTATCGATATCTCACAACCACATAACTTTTCGTTGCCCTCTTCTCGTTTTGCTTTCGCCGACCACAACAAAAATTCTGGTTAGGATTAACGCTCCTTCTACTCGGTATCGTTTACACCGACCCACCAAAGCCACTGTCAAAACTCAAAACATAATATCTGGCTGGGTCATAAATCTAAACATCAAGTCCAGCCTTTTGGACTCATGGTTCTTAGTTTTCTCCTTTGATACTTTATATCTCATACAATGCTCACCTGCACATGTTGTCCTCGCGATTCTCGACCGCCAACATCGTTTTTCTTGCTGCTCTGTACGATTCTACATATTTGTATAATAAATAATTGTTACTTGTGCTTTATGAACGACGTGTTATTTGGTTGTTTCTTCTTCAGCTCCTCTTATTACTATTGTTTCTATATCCTTGATTACTAAATGAGCTTGAGCATAGGCGTGTTATACCGTGTGAGTCAAAAAAGTTTACACCTGGAAAATTGCTAATTATTTTTTAAATCATATATGAACAGTAACATTATTATACATCTTATGAAAGAGTGTTTTATCCCAAATCATTTGGTACCATTTTTGTGTGGTATGTGTTCACGCTTGGATAAATAGGTGACATTGTTTGCGAGAGTGCAAAATCGACTTGCGCCAAAGTGATGCCTATAGTATGTATCATGTTGGGATTAACAGAGTGAGAGAATGAATTGAATGTATCAAATGAAATGCATTGCATATGTTTTTTGCTAAGGGCAAAGTCACACACACCCACACACACGCGCACAAATGTTTGTTGATATTTGATATTTGATATTTGATATGTGTGGCATGATCAATTTTGTTAGGGATGTTATTTGGATATTTAATACCCAAATCCCAATTGTTTTATTCAAACATCACATAAGCAACTTTGGCGCAAGTCGATTTTTGCAGTCTTGCAAACAATGTCTCCTGTTCATCCAAGCGTGAACACATACCACACAAATATGGTACCAAATGATTTGGGATAAAACACTCTTTCATAAGACAAATAACAATTTAATGTTCATCGATGATTTCTTTAAATAATTAGCAATTTTCTAGGTGTAAACTTTTTTTTGACTCACACTGTATAAGTGGAGGGTGGAATTTGTTTTAAAGACCAAATCTTCCATTGAGTTTCTACATGAGTCATGTCTCGATCAAGTGCCTAATTCGTCGCCGTGACGAATTCAATGTCTACTTTTATTTGTATTTTTGGTATTTTTGTATTTACTATTTTTGTTTAGACCCCCGAGTTGGACTCTTTCTGTGACCAACATGAAATGTCCAAGGAAGCTTGTGCACTAGCCCAGAAGGAAGGTAGCATCCCATCTAACTACACGTCAGATGGTGAGCTGGAGTACGCACAATGTAAGAAATACAACGTGTCAGGAGTGGGATTCTGGCCTGGGAGTGTTCCATCCAATTACAGCAGCGAAATGATGTCATGTGACAGTGGATGGGTCTATGATGACAGCCAATACAAGACGACGACAGTGACAGATGTAAGGAATTGAATGATATCATTGTAATCGTGAATTTGCAACTTAACTCTTTATATTATACAAAAAGTTGATCCTACACTAATATGTATTAAAGTGTACGATTTGACTTGCGTCTTGCAAAATCTTGCATCTTTAAACAAAATCTTTGATCTCTTTTAAATGTGGAAATATTCCTGACCTAAATCTTTTTGAATGTTGGGATATTTACAAAGAAAAACAGGTAATCATAAGAAGTCATTGCTCTTTTGTGATATAACTTCATGGAAAATGAATAGAATCAGCAGCATCTAGTTGAAATGTATGACAATTATCAAATGTTCTTTCGGAGCACGAGTATCATGAATGTTCACAAGTCCCATTTTATTTGTTTGGTTCCATTGACCGCTCGCCTTTGCGCTACGAAGTTCACCAAGTTAATTAATGTTTTTATTTTAGATGAATACAAAATGGTATAATTATGAAATATAAATGAATACATATTAACGAGAAAATCGAGCATTGTTAGAGACTTATTTGTCGCTGAAAGAGGAAAGGGTGATTTTTGTTTTACTTCCAAAATCTTATTTCGCTCCTTTGAGATGCCTCCCTGGACAGTGTGAAGACAGACTAGAGCCTTTAATTATGATATTATTCGTAGAAGCACTGCAAAAGCTGCAGTATTTCGCAAAATGATATACAAACGAATATTTTCACCCATAACAGAAAAAAACACAATTTTCTAGTGTCCCCTCCTCCATAGCAAAGCGGTAACCCCCCTCCCTAGCTCGTCCTGATCTGATCTATTTACGCTACTACTATCCTATCCCTAAACCAGCTGACTCATCTTCTCAATGACAGTAGTGAAAATAGCCCTTAGTCATGTCATATTTTGAATCTGCCTGTATGTCCATGGTGACCGTCATTCTAAATAATCCTTCGAATCGTTCATTGTGTACTAATGTGCCAAAAATGTAAACACAGTTATGTAAGAGGCTCTGATTCCTTTTAAAGCCGCAAATATCATATTTGCCTCGTCTGTCTATATAGTATCTGCAAACGTTTGGGACTGAAAAACACAGCAAGGTCGAAATTTCACCTGAAAGTGTGCTTAAAATCCTTCAAGTGGTGATCAATTGTGGGCGATCAAACCCTTTTCAATTTAAACCGCCATTAATGTTGTGGTTTATGAGTTCCTTTTTTTCTTCTTTTCATTTTATTTATCTCCACTTCTCATAAAATAACATGTACAAATTTACATACAATATCTGATAAACACAACAAAACAAGAAAATAGTACAACAATATTTAATGAATTGATAGCCCCTAGAATAAATACTTGAGACTGTGGTGAAGCCAGCAGAGCCCATTGACCTATCAAGTGCTGGTCTTCAGGAATAAATTATATATATATAGTTAGGTACATAACATAGTTAAGCCAAGTATGTTTAGACGCCCTATTTATTTTTCTTTTTTCTCTTTCTTTCTTCGTCAATTGTTTTAGCAAAGACCAACACTTGAATCCATCATTTGGTAACTTTTGAAAACAATACACGAAAGCAGGATTAGCTTGGCGCATGAGTATTTGTATTAGAAATTATTGTACAATAATGATAAAACCAAGGAAATATTGATATTTATACCAGTGGTTCTGGAAACTGCTTCACAAGAATATTTCCTATGTAGGCTCAGCCATATGAAACATATCGTAGATGAGGATTTCTACCTTTATTATTCAAGCTAATTTGGACAATATTATCCTTTGTTGTTGTTATACCTCCTAAAGCGAACCTTTCGGAGATAAATATATATTTTTAGCATCAAAGGTATTTTTACCAATTTTCCCTTATTATCGCTAACTGCTGGCAAAGTGACAACTCATTTGTACTTTGTTCAACGGATTAAGAGTCAGATATTTGCATCTAATGTCTTTTCCTTAGACTTGAACTTTTAAAACAAACAGGTCCGCCTATATGCAAGGGTTCCTGCTAGTTTTGAGCATGTAAATATATTCGTCGGTTGCTATTTGTTGTACCTGAAAAGATTAGACCGATGTCATTGCATGTGTGGTTCATTAGATAAAGCAAGGTCCTTGTTTATTTATTTATCTATTTATTTATTTAAAATCCAGGAGAATGCAATGAAAAACAGACATAAGTATAAACAAGACAAAGAAAAGATAATGGGTATCAGCCAGTGCCTGTGGATTGCCTAGAAGGAATGAGAATCCTGTCGAGGGCTCTACTTACTGGCTAGTAAGCAAATAATTACCGTTGGTGAAAACAATTTAACTACAAAAAGAAAAGGACGTGTATGCATTAACATACAAGACACCTAGGCCCAAATTCACACCAAAAAAGTTTAAGTTTAACCCAACCCCTTGAGGGTACGGTGCGCGCATGTGTTTTATTTAATTGCGCTCAATGGTAATGCGCGCTTAATTACGCCTGTTTTAGTGCGCTTTTGGATAATCTTCAGTGACAGTGCGTTGCCCTGTGTAGATAGTACCTCTATCTTCAGTGAAAGTGCGTTGCACTTTGTAGATAGTAGTACTATCTACACAGTGTAACGAAATTTTTACTTCTCCCATCAATAATGGGCGAACTATCTGTCATCACGTGATTTACTTTTGATCAATCGTAGAGCAAGATTCTTAGTATGTGGAATATAATGCCGAACATAAACATAAGACATATAACACTGACACAAAATTAGAATTTGATTAACGATCATTAACACATTATATAATATAAGTAATAATTTGTCATTAATCAGATTATTCTAACCGAGCAAATGAAAACATATTCCAAATATAAATTTCAAATATAAATTTCAAATTCATTCACATTGTTATATTGCCAATGAAAGCATAATTTAATAATACCAAAAGTGAATGTTTATAAATAAAATTAATCAATTATAATAGACGATTACTTGAATGATCTTAAAACTAATTTTGTTATCAAAGATATATGGCGAATTATATCAAGAAGGGGAAATTTGATAGGTAACGAATTAGAGTACGAAAGAACACATTAAAGGAAATATACAAATTTGCGTAGTTATTCCAGGAATGTTAGAGAAGAACTATTACACAGTATCGTTTAGAAATCTTAAAATTATATCCGTATAATTCAAATCAATTTGTGCTAATTAAAAAGATAAAAAAAGAAAACAATTGCAAATAAATCAATTAAAAAAAAGAAATGCAATAGTATAAAACAACAATAGTGGTTCCAATCATCATTATCATTATTCAAACAATGGGAACAATAATAATTTGTATTGAAAAATGAAAATAACTAATCAACTTTCTCTCTTCGTTTCTCTCTCTCTCTGTTTCTTTATTCCAGTTTGATCTCGTTTGTGGCGATCATGATATGACTGAACTGTCCCAATCCATCTTCTATATAGGAATCGTAGCAGGATCCATTTTCTTTGGCATAATGTCAGACAGGTGAGTTGGTAAACAAAATAATTTCATTGCCTCAAAACCTCTCTTAATGAATGGAATTATCCAAAGCAATGGCACTACAGTTAGAGTTCTAAATGCTTTCGTCCGTTCAAGATGAAATTTACTCTTGTTATGCTTTATGAAATTGAAATATATTGGGGATTTCGTAATTAATTCGATTTTGCTTTGATGTTCAATATTTGTTTACAGATTGAAATATTTGTTTAAATATAAATTAAAATAGCTGTTGTTTGGTATAAGTGCATAATTATATTGTTATAAGTTGTGCTAAAATACAAAGATCTATAAGGTTAAACGATTTTGATTGCGGAGGAATCTAATCCTCCCCCCCCCCCCCAAAAAAAAGAAGAAAAAAAAAACCCCAAAAACAAACAAGAAAACAAGAAAAAAAAATATATATACACATTCGAATACTTTACGCAACATTTATATTGGTGGTTAGAAATTTGTTTTTGTTGTTTTACTTGGTCTCAATGTTCAGGTTTAGGTTAATAATGATCGGACCTTTTTCTCATTATTTTGGTGTAAAATAGCAATTTACTACTCTGTTCTATGTTCATTATTGAAGAAACAGGTATCATGTTGATACTTACAAAAATAAATTAAAAAAAATCATGTTCAATATTCTTTAAAAAAATAAAAAAATACAAGTTTAATGAAACTTAGACCATGGCATATATAAACGCGGGAAGTTGTCGAGAATTATGTATGAAAAGCAAATGCCGATAACCGTTTCGCTTGATAGATAAGTTGCTTTGCTCTAGCAAAGTAAAATATGCATGGCCATACAGAGAGTGACATTTTCATCTTAACTCACCACTATAATCACCATTGTTATAATTTCCACAGAGTTGGGCGCTGGTGGGCGCTTTTTGTGAGCAACATCATCTCGCTTGTTTCGGGGCTTGCTCTTGCCTTTTCGCCAAATTGGTGCTTCTTTGCCATCATGCGTTTCTTCATGGGATTCGGCAACATCGCTCTCAACACCGTATTGTATATTATAGGTGAGAGCACTCATTCATCTAAGATATAAACATCTTTTGCACTTTACTTTTATTAGGTGGTCTGTCGTTTTCGACAGATCACCTATTGTTTTTGTTCAAATTTTCTTTCTTATTATTATTTCTTTATTTTTATTTATTGTACCCTCTTTTTTGTTTACGGGATAACTCAAGATCGGTTAAGTCAATTTCGTTCAATTTTGGCGCAGTCATTGGTCCTTGTCATAAGACGTGACAGTAACATTTTCAAGGTCATGAGGTCTTCATGACGTCATCCAGGCGCCATTTTGTGTTATTTTTGGTACTTTTTACTCATGATCATATCTTCATAACGGAAAGGCATTTCTCATTCATATTTATCATGATTAAGGTCAATATCCGTCCGGTCAATTATAGGTCAGAAATCGCGCGCGCATGCGTACTTCCGCGCGTCAGCGCGCGCGCAAAAAATAAAAATGCTCAAAATCGTCTCAAATTCATTTTGCATACGTTTCAGGCCATTTTAAGCATTTTGCAAAAAAACGCGCGCACGAACATGCGCGCGCGTTTTCGCGCGTACTGGTATTTTTCAACATAGAATCGCCAAATTTTCTCTGTCATCATATTTGGCACATTTTCCCAAGCATTTTGATACCTTGTTCACCTTTTTCTGCCCATTAATAACGGAATGAGCGTCCGTTTAAGATAATGTCCGTGCGTGCGAGGTCTTGTAATACATAGCATACATGGGCAAAAACATGCCTATACAAAATCCATTGTAGCGCTTTAGGATGCAAGAAAAACCCAATTTTGTTTTCATATTTTGATAGAGTATGAATTGGAGATATGATTTCATGTCTCATTTGACCCTCAATTAACTCACGACGTCATCATAATGGCCTCCGAACTCAAAATTTCAATTTGCATATTATGACGTCAGCATATTTTTTGAAAATTTATTGTATCTCTGTAAATATTGATTAATTTTCATCCAAATTTTGATATGTTTTAGCTGAGACAATTCTCTACAGATAAATTACCACAAATTTTCGATTTGACGAAAGCATCATGGCGTATTTTTGCGATTAAAGGAGGCATGTCAATTTTTTACATTTTGCGTGTATTCTCTAAGGGACATGACTTTTTCTCAAAACTGGATTCTACATTCCCGTCTTTCACGAGCAATATCTCCGTCGTCTTAACTTTGTTTTGGCTGAGCATCGAGTATGTTGTAGCTGAGACAATAAGCTATCACAAATGTGCCATTTATTTCTCGATCAGATGCCGGGATCATGCTCATATTTCACTTGCAAAGTGGGATTTGAGAATTTCATTTTCCGTTTACGTGTAATCGCTATGGGAAATGTTTTGGTATATCGGTAACGCACAACTCGACTTCGGACCTCGAGATCCCTGGTTCGAGTCCGGGAGTCTCCAACAATTTGTTTTCTTCATTTTTTTTCTTTTTTGACTTTTCAATGATTATAAAATTGAAAACAGACCACCTAATTCGTCCCCATTACGAATTAAATTTCTAGTTTGATCTGATTTTTCTTCTTGTTGTGCTATATTTATGTATTTTCATGTTTTGCACTGGTGCGCCTTGAGCATTTATTTCTAAAGTGCATTTGGCGCCTTATAAATCCTATATATTATTATCATTAGTACTATTGATATTTGTTATCGTACACATTTATTACCATGACTATTGTGACAGATATTTCACAAAAGAACTTGCTATTCCCGGATTAGGCTCTTCCCCCACCTTTCTCTCTCATATCATAATATCGCCATTTCCCTCTCAAATGGCCTGGTCTTTTCACTCTCATCCCAAGTTCCCTATTTCCTATTCCAATACCATTCCCGTAACTTCTTCTCCCCTCTTCCCACTCTCGCCCTTTCTGACGAATCAAATAAATTAATCATCCACTCTTTTCAACATTTGCACTCTTAGGTATTGAGTACATTGGACCATCGAAGAGGAACGTCATAATACTAGCATCGATTAGCTATGCACTCGGATACATGTTACTCACCCTACCGGCATACTACATTCGCTCCTGGCGTACCTTACAGCTAGTTATGACTGCACCTCTCTCCATCCTCTTCATCTTCTTCATGTAAGAAACTCATCAACTGTTGGATTTTTTAATTTTTTTTTTTATTAGAGTGCAATATTAACCTTTCAATTGCCAGAAGTGCCAATTTGCACAAGCGCTTATTCGTCACGTTTGCCATGCGAACCGATATGCACAAAACAATATGCATCAATCGAAAGAAGATTTGCTTTGTGCATGGTATAAGCTTTGCACGACTGCCCAGTTCTGCTCTTAATGGTAGCTGATTGGAAACCATTTTTACATTGGCACAGAAAAATGATCAGTCACGGTTTGCGATTCTAAACCGTAGAATTTTAAAGAATAAATAGAGCCACCGGAAATTTGAAATCGGAGAATTATTGTGCTTTAACAATAAAATTACAGGATAACAAATCTAATCGTTCACGCCCTGTGCTCTGGGATTGCGTACGGTTGTGTCAGTTAATCTACTCACGCGTCGCCTTTATTTATTTATTTAGAATGTATTTAGATAAATATTTGTGATAAGTATCCTAGTATCTCTCTTTATTGAAATCCAAGATGGCTCCCAGAATCACCAAGATGGCTGATATCAATGGGGAAATACGACAAGGCGGAGAAGGTGATTGAAAAGTTTGCTGACGTCAATGAAGTGACATTGCCAAACCCTCTCTTCACTAAAGAATTTATGGAAGAACAGGTGAGAATAGACTTTTATTGAACTGCAAGTGTAAATTTTACTTTGCCTACATTATTATTTCAGTCCTTTGTAGACATCACCGTCGTATGCATTTATTTTCTTAATCTATGACCAAGACTTCAATCCTAAGTTCCTGATTCCTCTTTTTCAAGTTATTGTCATGAAATTTTTTTAAACAAAGAGTAGCTGAAAGCTTTAAAAAATTAATACAAATGTTGATATTCTACAAAATACGTTGAATACATTATCCTTAGTGTCATTTGAGACAGAGGGATTTTTTTTAAAACTGCAAGCTCGATTACAATTTCCTGAAACCTCACTTTCCCCTTTAAAACTCGCAAACTCCAGCCTAGTCTGTTATTTACATTTCTCTTTTGTTTTCCTTTGTAATTACTTTTCCAGGACCAAATACGCAGGGCACGCAAACCTACGGGCCTTGATTTAATTCGGACGCCTAGGATGAGACTACGGACTATCAACCTTGTCTGTATATGGTAAGCCACTTGGGCAGCTCATCATTCATCACTCATTAATCAATAGACCAGTTTACTAACATTTTCAAATGTTATGGATACCGTTTAAAGAAAGGTTGTTCTTGACGCCCTAATATTTTTGGAGGCTTGTCCGACAACAAGTAATGTGTTCAGACTGGATTCCAAGTATTGTAGATCATTCATTAATAATAGGTTTAACTTTAATGGAATACCTCTTCACGAATTACTTTAAGGAAAGAAACATCTATGCATTTGAATATGTCAGAAAACCCAATTGATTGCAGTAAGCCTATATTTACATGACAGTAGAGACATCATAATTCTTTCTATTTTTTTATAAATGCACTTTTAGATAGAAGACTGTTTAGTCTCGGTCAATAAATCTAAACACAGCCTATAGTACAATATGTCATAGAAAGGGAAGGTTTGACATTGGTAAATTCCGTTGTATTATCTAGAATATGCAACACTATACTTTGTCAACAATTTTATGTAAAACCAGTAGGCCTACAATACTCAAAAGGTTATAGACATTGAAATATTTCTTATTCCCTGAAATTCATCGTCTATTACAGACTTTAAGTACTATGGCACAAATTAATTTTAGTTTAAATGTTATGCGTACCATGCCATGATTTAGAAGAAAAAAAAATCCTTTCTTTAAAAAAAAAATCAACATTCATATAACTATTACCTAAAGATCATCATTTGTTTTGTCGTTTCAAGGATCCTTTTATCACAATTAAAGAGAGGCTACTGAAGAAAATATAAAATATAGTATTCTTACATAATTATAATTATAACACCTTCTCTCTCTCTCTCTTTTTTTTTCTCTTTCCCTCTCTCATGCTATTTGTATACTTTTTCTTTCTCCTAATAAAACATTTGTATATCATAGGATGGTGAACTCACTGGTATACCACGGCCTTTCGCTCAATAGTTCAAATCTGGGTGTCGACGTCTATCTCGCTTTTGCTCTCTCGGCCGCTGTCGAAATTCCTGCCTACCTTCTGGCCTTCGTCATCGTCGAGTTCTTCGGTCGCAAGCTTAGTGTCTTCGGCTGTATGATGTTGGGCGGGCTGGCTTGCGTGTCGACTGCTTTTATAGGTATGATCACGGCGGCCATGCTGCTCGTATTAATTGTGTCGAATTTTCGAAAAACAGTTAGGATGATAGTGATATTAATGATAATGATGAAAGGAATTAATAGTATAATAAATTTGACTGTTTAAATTGATTAAGGTTGATATTTTTCTTCAAAAGTGTTTGTGTGATTGATTTATTATAAGCTATACATTAGTCATATGGAAACTGTTATAATGGATGTAGGGTTATTTTGGAAAGATAATTGATTTTAAAAAATCTGATAGATAAATGCAAAGCTGTCTTTTCTTCCTTATCATAATACGAAATAGTTATTCCTTTTTTCATCTACTGAGATATTCACCATAGATATGTTGTCGTTGATAACTTTGAAATTATTTAAGGTGAGTCATATGTACACAATTTTCAGTTCTCTGTATATACTTCATGTTTGAAATCTTTCTAGGTCTTGTATGTTTCAATTTTTTCTGAGTGAATACAATGTCTCCAACATTTCTCTGATAAAATTTAACCTACAGAACACGGCATTGCTTTGACGAGTGTCGCCATGATTGGAAAGTTTGGGATTTCAGCCTCATCTAACATCATCTATCTCTACACTGTCGAGCTTTACCCTACGAATATAAGGTAGATCACAATCCATATTGAACACAAAGTATTTCTCACTAAACTTATTACTTTCTGTTTAATTTTTCATCTTTTTCATTTGTTTGTTTATCTATTTATTCATTTACTTATTAATTATTTGTGTGTAATATATCTATTTGGTTGGAGTATGGATCCACAGCAAAAACTTCATGGTCGGGCATCGAAAAAACTGTGTTAAATAATTTATAACAGTTATTGAGTTCACTTTGTACATTTCACATTTTTTTATTTCTTGTGTTTTTATATTTTCCTTATGAATTGAAAGTTTCATCCGAATCGTAACAATAGGTCGTATGATAGCGTTTCAATTATCTGAATTTATCTATACTTCTTGAAAGAGATATATATTTCCGAATATATTTTCAAAATGATATTAAAATTTGCTACGATATGAGGGCGTCTAAAATTCGTGTACACCATTGTTTACAGGGCAGTGATATTTGTCATAAGTTGATTAAGATAGGCGAGAACCTTGATTTTATTACATATTCTAAATATCATCACAATACAATTCGTTGCGATGAACTATGTTTATGGTATTTTCTTAATCTTCTCTTTGACAGGGGGATTGCCGTTGGCAACTGTTCAATGTTCTCAAACATAGCAGGTATATTGGCCCCTCTCATCCTCATACTCAGCAAGTATTGGGATTCTCTTCCCCTCGTCATTTATGGGTCTTTTTCCGTCATCGCTGCACTGTCTGCCCTAGCCTTGCCCGAGACAAGAGGCGAGAAACTCCCCGAGACGGTGGAAGAAGTAGAACAATTTGGCTCGTAAGAATATTTTCTAAACGCTTCGTGATGTTTTTTGGTGAAGACGATCGATTAAATTCGTTACGAAGATAATTATGACAAAGTAGATATAACGTGATTTGGGAAAAACATATCGAATTTTTAGCCATATTTGAAATTAACTTGTGTCTTTATAACGATTTGTACTTGAATTTTTACGAAATTGATTCAGACTGATTGATTATAATTGGAGCACAACTGGAACATAGACCCACATGAGAACCACATTTCGGTATCGTTGGTTGTCGGACTCAGAGGCCGTCGGTTTTGCAATGGTTCTGACTAACATTATTTTGAGAAGGTTAGCTAGAGCGAAATCGTAGGTCTCGGGGGCTGAACCCGATCGGATTATAACGATAAAAATAGTAATATCGGTAATCATTTTGCTCTGCTAGAGAAAAAAAATATGATTGGCCTAATTATGTAGAGATTTTTTTTAGAGAAGTATAATGGTATACGTTTTCATAATATGATAGATGCGTTGTGGTTCTCTAAGGGCTACGATAATAACCCTCGCTTTTTCCACTTCTCCTTCTCTCTCTCTCTCTCTCTCTCTCATACAGAAGCTCCAAGGAAGCCAAGGAGCTCAAAGTCATGACGTCACAGCATGGACCTAACACAGTTGAGGAGAAGGACAAAGTAACAAATATATTGAATGACACATCAACTGATACCACCCATGTAAACCCTACATTTACCATAGAGGACGAACATGTAAATAATGTGAAATTTGTAAATGGAACGACTCTGGAAAATCATGTATTTACTGAGGAGGATGAGAAAAGTCAGAGGGACGGCATTGCAAATGGAGCTACCCCTAGCAATCGAGAATTCACAATACACAGGATACTGGACGAAGATGACGAAAATGGAAACATTAAATACATCTCGGGGGAAATAGTTTATGATAACTCAACATTTACAATGGAGGATAAAAAGCAGAGTGGCATACCCTTGTGCTCAAACGGGAGTATACCAGAAAGGGAGGAAAAGGAAACATCGCACACAGATGAAGGATAGAACATGAGAGAGATGAAAGACATGGAAAGAAAGGAATGGGGAGAGAGAGGTGTGTGAGAGAGAGAGAGAGAGAGAGAGAGAGGGAGAGAGAGAGAGTGATAGAGAAAGAGGGGGAGAAGTTGAACAAGAGCAATTATCATCAATGTCCTCTTGTCCCATAATATATTCGATTCATTATGTTCTTAAACTTTAACTTAGTATATAAAAAGGAATTATAAATTGTAGATCTTCACAATTAGACCGTCCTAGAAAACATAATTAAATGTTATGATATGGATTGATAGTGTCGAAGAAGAACAAAATATATTATTGATTTTTGTCTGATTCATATCATAAATTTGTAGTTATTTTTTTATTTATTTCTTTTACAGAATATGCTACTAAGTAGTCAATTACAAAAAGATTAAAACTAATTTGGAAAAACAAATAATTCTCGGAACATAAAATCGTTAATGTAATGTCAGATCATTAGAAGCTTAATCAGAAATGGCATATTTCTTGCTTTGAATACGGTCATTGTCATTATTGAATGCTACTTTTTATCGTGCTCAGTTTAGTTCATGCATTTTTGTTCATTATTAAACTTTGACCACAATCCAAATTGTTCACATGTAAAGCGTTTTATCTGACGACCCAATCCGAAAAAAATGTTTAATTGATATGTAATGCTTTGATATCTTTCAGATGATTCACAGCAAATCTTGGGCATGTGCAACTGAAATAGCTCATATGCCCATATACCATGTTTTGTGTTTGACATATTCATCCTTGTTCTGCCATGAAAAATTGCAACATGTGATTTAAATGCTGACTCAGAAGAAAAAATATGTTGTCACTTGATTTCTTTTTGTCTTATCTCTGTTATGTTTTTGGGTCGTCATGCTAGCAGTTATATATATGGCACTGTTTTTTTAACTTATACCAAATGTGTCCACAAATGGGTCCAAAATGAAATTGTGTTTACTCACTTCAAACTTGTATTTGTAGGATCAGGACTAATCATATTTTTGAGAAATGCAAATTCTGGACCTTAATCTATCTCCTTATTTATTCACCAGATATGAATACTTTGAGTTTTTACAATTTTATTGTGAACTATAGCATATCTAATAACTGTGATATAAAACTCATTTGCTATTAACTACACCTTTAAATATGTTGGGTCTATAAGAATATGTTTCAGAGATTATTCATGCAAATTGTTGAGTTTCTATCTTGAAAAATACAGATTTTGTATCCCTTGAAAGTGACAAATAGGTCTAAATTAGGGTTTTGACAATAACAAGTTTTTATTTCAATAGGTAAAATGCTTTTTTCTTAAGTCAAACTTATTTTATTATAACAACTGATGATATAAGGTAAATACAGGCAAAAAAAAAATGGGAACCAGTGCATTGCCTAATAATGTTCATATGGCACACCACTGATGTTTCGGACGTTACACACCGTTAACATTATAACTTTATTCAAGTTAATTGCTTTTCTTTAGGTATTATTGACCTCAGTTACATTAATTGTTTGCAGAAAAATACTTCTGTAACATTTTGGAAAAAAATTGTGCAGTTTGTATTAGTTTAGCACATACATGTATACCAAGTTTGTCTTCATCGACCACTCAATTTATGTAAGGTTTATTATTCATTTCAAGAACGTGTACTGGTAGTTAAATATGCTTATGTGATCTAACAGAGTGAAATATGAAGCTAATAGCAATTGTAGTCATCAAAACTCCTTAGAAAATTCACTTAGAAACATACTCTTTATTGCATGTTATGAACAACAGTGTGAAATGTATACTATGGTTTGTTTCGGATGTTACACGATGTTAACATTTCAATGAGATCATCAATTTCTACAAGCTCTACAATATAGATGTTTAATCAGCTTGCTGATGTTCTTTGCCTTCAACTATATAGTGTGTCATTCAATAATATCACTAACACATACATGTATGTAAGCAAAACATTGACACATCTTTTAAAAAATAAAATTATAAAACAGTACCCCCAGTCATGTAAGTACGGTTATAAGAAATAGGTGAATCCTAATGTATGCACATCTCGAGAATGAGACATTTTTGATGTATTTTAAAATTGTGTATGTTTTAGGTTATAATACTACTGTAGTAACAATCATCCTTTACCACTATTTGTATTAGGAGGCTGTTTCAAACGACAATATGTTTTAATGCTCTTAAATAAGTATTTATTTATTTATTTAATTGATGACTGATTAATGAATGGATGGATTGATTGGTCTGTTGGTTGGTTGATAGATCTGAACTCTTGATGTGCCTATATTACGGTTAAAAAAAATATACAGTGTAGGTTAAACATGTACCGTATTTGCCGGCGATAAGGCCGCAGCGCCGCACCCCCAACTTTGACATTTCGTAGAGGAAAAAAAACAAAAACGGACAGCCCATTTATATTTCACACTCGTGTAGGGTTGCGGTTCTAACAGATAATTCCTAGCACTCTTAACACAGAGGCAGCCCAGCAGACATGTTGTAGGATTGATAACTACTAGCTAACTGACCAGGTTTTAATTTGTAAAGGCATTACAGCATTCTATGTAGCATTCCACATACATTCCATGCAAAGTAGAATAAAGCAATAAATATTCATATAGTCCCATACAAGTATAAATCAACATCACAAAGTATTCTTGAATATTCAAACATAAACAAAGGGTATATATTGAATATTCATAGTATATGTAAATTATACTATATAAGCTTGACTGCATCAGGTAAACATTGAAACCAATGAGAGAGAGAGAGAGATAGACAGGAAAGGATGGTGGATGAAAAGGGTGAATGTGAATGAGGAATGACCTATATGAAAGGGATGAATCATGGATATGAAGGGGAGTTTCAGAAGTTCAAAATAAATCCCTACACTTTAGCTTATACATTTTGTATGTATGCATACATTTGAGGAAGATACTACATGTATAATTATGTTTAGGATCATTAAATAAGTTATTACTGGTAATGCCCTTTTCTTTTATACATGTTTGTACTTTCTACACAGATTAGTTACGTGTACCGAGTGCCCTTTTTAAAAGGTATTTTCAAATGAAAATCCATATTTCCCATAAATTTTTAGAAAAACATTTCAATTTGCTTGATTTTATCAACTCTATATACCTGTATCATACCCGTGTCATGTACATGTACACTAGGTATTGCTTAAATTAAGTGGGTGATTTTGAGCTTTTGTAACCTACCAAATAGTTTAGATTGACCATACAATCTTTGGTTATATGACATAATTTGGAACAACCTTTGTAAAAGTGAAAATGTGTAGATTTGCAAACACACAGCAATGTAAATAGCAAGAGGAGAGGTTGAACAATTTAAATTTGCTATTCTCACATCTATCTTTGCCCCTCATTTGAACTAGTTAAAGTATGAAAATGTCTGTTAACAGTTTAATGTAACATCCGAAACGTGCTAACAGCATAACAGAAAGTGCTGTTAAAATGCCGGCTGAATAATTGTTATGAGTCACTTTTATTGGGATTTTTTCTGATAAATTACAATTAAGGATATACTAAAGCAGCCAGGAATGCCTTGCACCACAAAGTGTGATTTCAATATTTATGTTTTATAAGTCAATTTTGCAGAAAATCTAGATATTTTACGGAAAATTTGATTTTTTGCATCATATTTCTTCATATTTTATATTTAGATCTAAATGAAATTATCAAAATAGTGTTTTTAACAGGAGTGTGCATTGTGAAATCGTAACTTGCACATATGATCGAAAATTAGTCGAAATTTGCAAACTATGTGTTAACAATCAAATAGTGTAACGTCCGAAACACCCTTCTTGAGTTTACACAAAATTATTGGATTTGAAAGACCTGATTTGTGTTTTGACTTGTGTGAAGACTTATAATAACTTATTTCATAATGACTTATTCACTCCAGATCCCCTCAAATATGGATTATCATCATTTATTTGGTATTTTTTGTTTCGGACGTTACAACAGTTAACGGAAAATTGGTTTTAACTATAAAATAGTATTGTAATGATGTATTGCAAATTTCTTTTTTTTGGTGGATAGCCGCCATGAAATGTTTAAAAAATGTTACGAAAGATAGGTCCTGCAGTTCATGTATTATCTGCTACTTCAAATTGAAAGTTGTTTCGGACGTTACAAAATTGTTTACGGAAAATGAGACAACTTTTTCAAATTTTGAATATATTTATTATATAAGCGCTACTACAATTAAATTATATTTTCTTTTAATTTAATGACTTGGAGTAACTAATAAGCTTATTCAAACTATAAACAATCTCATTAAATGATTGTTCTAGTGAGTTAAATGAGAGCCTACATTGTTTACGGAAAATGTAACGTCCGAAACACCATTTTCAATTGCACTGTTCTATCAAAATACAGGAGTTAATTCAGATTACTGTTAACTTTCTTTAAGATCCACCCATGCTCATTAATCATCAATAGAAAAAAAACATATTGCTTGTGGGTATATATTTTTTCGGCTCCAACCAAAAAGGTATGTCAATTTAGTTACAAAATTCCGTAAACAATTGGCTGTTCAGGGATACCTCATGCACATAAAGCAACGCTGAATTTTTTTGTTAAGCTATGGGAGGTTAACCTAGGTCCATGCTACAAGAAAAAGTTGTAACTGATTTCTAATTCTTTATCTTTGTACAGTTTCAGGCTGTCAAAGGGTCATTAAGCTATTTGGTCATAGTTAAAAAAACCAGTGCCATATGTATTATATCATCTTAATTTGACAAAATTTCGATCAGGGATAAGGGGAAAATGTTGCAAAGATTATACACGTAAATCCGTACTTTAAGTAATATGCAGTCTTGCATACCCATTGGATGCGGATTTGGTTCATCCCTTCATGAGTAGTTCATTTCCATTATGCCAAAACAGAAGGTAAATCCTGCTCCATAATAAGTTATTCGAAGAAGCACCACCACCCACCTCCTGTTAGAATGCGGAATAATTTCTCTTTTAGGTCACGTCGACTGAATTCATTATATTTTATTCTCACATCGAATATCGAGCACAGACAACATTATACATCAGGCTCATTAGGTTCAGATATTGTAATGAAGATTTCTTAAAACAAATATTTTCATTAGGTCATGGGATTACGATAAAGGAACGAGCCAATGAACAATAATAACAAAAACCACTAATAAGAAAGACAATAACTCCGTCACTTGATATTTGCTGTCTAGCTTTGGCTGAAATTTGCTCTCTGGTTTGTCGACATACATGTCTTCAATTACGCGCACACACGCAATATCCCGTTTCCTACGATCTTCACGACACAAACGCCATCACATGGCCACACCCACCACCTCCTTGCCCGAACATCGTTAAAAAAATGGACCTTTCCTGATCAGACATTTTGTCATGCGAATCTATCTGTCGCATCCATTACATTTGTAATTTAGCTGGTGACTGCACCGACGGTGACTTTTTTAAAGGTTAAACAAGTACTCAATGTTCAAGCTGAGATGAAAACATCTAATAATTTCTTGACAACCAATGTTTCCCTATTTCACAAACATATACACGAATATACCATTCTTAAATGATTTCACATGGGCAAAAATCAATTATGTATCAAATTCCGTACAAAAGGGATGTAAATATTCTGACACAAAATGTAAAAAAGAACCTCATATTTGTTGCATAACGAATGTTATTTAAATATAATAATAATAATAATGCTAATAATGCTAATAATGATAATAATCTGTTTACCAAAGTACCAAAGGTAGCCTTATCAGTATTCAAACCGTGCTCCTGAGGTTCCTGTACTCATACCATTACCTCCTGCTTTAGCTGAGCTACCATAAAACGGTGCTCAAGCATTCAAGGAACACCTTCCTATATTTGCTCTATGTAATACAATCTGAGATAACTAAATAATCCCTGAAAGGTTCTGGAAATGGAGCAGTAGTCTAAAAGAATCAGACTCCTCTCAAGGTTGTGCAAGTATCAGCACAGGTTCCCGAAACAATACAAAATGTTCTTAGTGGCACAATGGTTCTTCTACGAACCTCGGTATTTGGGGATAGTGTTTCTTCATGACCTATTGTTTAAAAATAGCTTATATATACACACGCTTAAGAATAAAGGCCAAAATTATTGCATATCTTCATGTCTTGGTCAGCGACAATTCGCCAGTCACAATTCTCTAATTCTTTAATTATTCATTCTTATTATCACAATAATACAAATGCGACTTTAGATCCTCTTCATTATTCTGGGCTGCCCAATGATATCGAGGAAAACTGCTGATGGATTCCCTCAAAAAACTTCTTTCAACGATTCCACTGAAATAACCTCTTGGGATTTGTAATGCGACACAAGGTTTGGAACTATGGAACACCAAAAAGGCCGATTATAGTTGATGGTTTAAAAGTAAATGATGACGACATAAAACAAACTTCATGACAGCTGCCGCCACACCCTAGATTATCAATTAGGTTTGATCCATCAACTATGACTGCCCTCTTGGCGTTCCATTTGGAACCCTTGAAGGTTTAAACATGAAAGAATTTTAACTTGTAAAAGTGTAAGCCTACATATTGTCATCATTTCTCGTCTTTCATGCTGAATGCTGGGTTGTCGTGAACGGTCTCAGCTGTGGTTTCGCCCTTCTCTCCATCACTTAAATGAATAGACACAAGAAATGATATGGATTTAAAATAAGCGTACTTCAATATAACAATAATAACGATTGGAGTTAATCACGTCACAGGTATTTTGTTTCAAATGTACGAGATGTAATAGATATACAATTAGAAACGTTTCTTTTTTTGTTTATAGCCAGTAGACGTTCAACCATATGGGGGAGCTTTACACTGCAGTCCTGTCAGCTTATTCAGAACTTTGTCGTAGCTAGCGCTGTTGCTGATGCTTGCTATAGTATATATGTTTACGCATTTGCATTTTATGATTTCGTTGGTATCAAACAATATCTATGACACCGATGAAATCATTATTATTATCGAGGACGTAAGCAGTCGAAAATCAATCTAATAATTTTAGCAGTATATAGAAAGAACTGCAACATTATACCAAGCATGGAGGAATGTGCTTTGGCTTAGACTAAACTTGAAAATCCTTTTTTCTGAGCAGAGAGGGACTTTAAGATTTGTTTTCACTCATTAATCTTTAGTATTATCCAATTTGCAAATTGTATATATAGCGTTTTAATGTGTTTGTAAAATAAGGGATATAATTTACTTCAAACCAAACTGTTCTCCTTCTTCCAGTGTCTCTGGGAGTTTCTTGCCTCGAGTCTCGGGCAATGCAAGAGCAGACAGTGAAGCGATGACGGATAGCGAACCGTAGATGACAAGAGGAAGTGGATCCCAATATTTTGCGAGGATGAGGACAAGAGGTGCTGATATTGTCGCTACCCGGGAAAACATAGAGCAGCTGCCTATGGCAACGCCCCTTTATAAGAGACAGGATTAAGAGAGAAACGACGCTAGGGATACATGAAAAATGCGTTTATTTCATTTTTCTACGATACAAATGGTCAATTGAAATGATCAGTTTGACAGGAATTTCGACAATTCAAACTTTATGCAATAAACAAATGTTATATATTTATAGTTCTTTATCCTTTTTGGATGTTCGTCTAAAATTATGTCTGTATTTCAGTCATAGGCATGAAGCATTGCTATCCGGTAATTGTTGTTCAATACCTGATTTAATTAAATACAGTACAGTTGAAACTATATGTGATGAACACCATCTATAATAAATAATCTGCATATTACTCGTAAACTGAGGTATATTCTAAAAACCTTTGATCCTTGGTTACCTTATATTTGTTGGATAAAGCTCCACGGTGTAGAGATATATGATTGCAAACGAGCCTGCGATCCCGAACTTTCCTATCATAGAAACAGTTGTCAGGGCAACGCCGGTGGCTACAATGATATTCAGACAGTACTATTATGGCAAGCGTGGGTTAGGATAATATGAAATCATCAGAAGCAGATATAACATTAATTTCTTACATAACATTTGGTGTATACAGAACTATTAAAGGTTTATATAATTAAGCAAGGTGAATTCAGGGCCCTGCATTATAATGAGTTGCAATCGCATGAATCTAAGTTAAATGCAACCATACAATTGTCTATCTCTCGTAAACATGATTAAACATGATAAGTACTACCTTTATTTGTTCTAGGACCCGTCTCATTAAGAGATGCGATTAATATCAAAGGAGATACATGTTAAAACGATGATGAACTTTCTACCCTAACGTACTGTTTATTGCATAATGCACAGCGCCATCTTATGGTAAACTTGCTGCCAGTGCTTGCTCCAATGAATTAAAGTAGTTTCAAAAGGTTATATAATTTTGGCTTAATTTGTGTTTGAGCAATGGCTCTTGACAAGCATTTTGTCATATTTATTTTATTTATATTATTATGGGTTTGCACACCCTGATTAGCACGATTTTTTTCTTTCTTAGGGGTCCACATGTAGTTTAATGGCCTATTGAAGAAAACAAAGCAACTTATGTATAAATGCAGTTGACAAGCAAGCTACCCCACCTAGCATCAAACAGAAGAAAAGACTTAACCTCCGGCCAAAGAACTCGACGATGAAAATATCCATGATGTAGGCCGGGATCTCGATACCACCCGTAATGGCAAAAGCGACGTAGTCGTTGGTGCCGAGATTTGAGCTATTCAAAGACAGGCCGTGATATACCATGGAGTTCACCATCCTAACAAAGAGGAGACAATGAAAGACAGAGGTTGGGATGGGAGATGGGAGAGAGTAAGAGAGGTATCACGAGGTACATATGTTTTTAAAAATCGATGTTCGCATTCTTGGACAATTTAAATCGCATGTTAGGTAAACGAATAATAATGATCATATTAATAATGATAATAATAATAATAATAATAATAATTATAAAATTGTGATGATCATAATACTAATGATCATGATAATTTAATAATAATTGACATTTATATTGCGGATATTAACGGCACTTTATTGTTTTTTTTCTGCTTTTATCATGGTTATGTAAGCTTGGTATTGTTAGTTTAACCAGGGAGGTGAAAGAAAGGAGTCGAAACTCTTGCGATTTATTCAAACGCATTCATGAGTTCTAAAGCGTAACAATGGGATGTGTAACATTCAACTTGGCTATGAAGTTCCATGCTCCGAGCCGCGCTTCCACTGCGGGGATTTTCGGAGGCCAGGCATGAGTTTCACATTTATTACAAAATATTAAATTACCAGCAAAATTTCAGTGTAAATTATATACTTTATATGGGGATTGTTTTGATATAGTGCATCAAATAATTTGTCACATTTTGGACTCCGCCCTTGGTAAAAGAAAAATTAGATCCTGAAAAGAAAAACAAATATTTTAGGATAATGCGCTAATGTGTGCATGTTTTAACTCATAGCATGCCATGATACTGCATGCACGCTACTGTTATAGTGCTTTGCACATGCAAGCTAACCATTGATACACTGCCATGTGCGTGCAAGGGCGCATTCGTAATAGCAGTTATTGTTCATGCTTATTGGACTGTGCTTTTGTTTCGCAAGCGCTATTCATAGAACCATCTCGTTAATCAGATTATCTCCAAAACAACATGGCACTGGGGGGTTTGGGGCTTGGCACAATGGGGATTAGCCCTGTGGCATGGTAAGAGAATGTCACTTCATGTAATCCATGATTTACAATCTTCGATAACTTTAAGTTACTTTGCTAATCCGTGATTTCGCGTGTCTTTTTTTATTTTTGTAGTTCGAAAAAAGGATGATATTACACAAGTTTGTGTTCGCTTGTTCTACTATTTACACATTTAACAATGGATGATAAATCATTAAAAGGGACAGCGAACAGTTGCTGTGATACTATTTTCTGATGTAGGAATTCTAAGTCCTGAAATTTCATTCGCTCTTTTATCTCACCACCTGGTCAACAGTTGCAGATTAGCGCATAACTTTTTCGGCGGCTTGGAGCATGGGGTCTAAGGAGAGCGGCTTGATTGCAGTCCTTCTCAATCACGTCCCTGGTTTAACGTTATCGAAATGATTCAGGTATGGTGCGGTTAACCGCCGCAAAAAAAAAACAGCCGCCTTTAAAAAAAAACGTACAATGAATGTCATTTGCGCGCAACGAAGGACTTTCGCGAATTCACACTGAGCTCTATGTTATGATATATACACAGAATTGTATTAAAAGCGTAGTACACTTTATGTCATCATCATAATAAGGAAAATTTAAACATACCGCCGCGGTTTGCCGCGTCATATTTGAAGGATCCTTGAGAGTCATTAGGCCTACCATATAAAGACAAGGTTGATGGTTCGCATTCTCATCCTGGGTGTGCGGATCAAATCGAGACCTGTGGGCCTATGTTCCTTGCGGATTCGTTCCTGGGGTAGTGAGAAAGAAAAGAACAAAAACCCGGAAAAAAGATGACGGGAGAGAAATGGGGTAAGGAGTGAGTGGGAAATAAAGAGGTAGAGAGTTTATGACATGATCTATGAAACGAAACCTTGGCAAAAAAAAAGCCTCCAATGTTGGCCAACCTCTTATTCCCAATTAAAAAACGAAGACCATGATATGTTAATTTGACCAGAATCCCGTTCGACCTACGTTATGCAGCATTAATGATATATTTAAATGACCGACTGTCATTATACAGCCCTTCGAAATAGATACAATAGAATCAATCGCAAATTGTTTAATCTTCCTTGAAATAACCTCAGGCTGTACTGTTCCTACTTACGCTATCATTTTCCATAATAAATTTTCGATTGACATCATTAGGTTCGACTTGCATAATGAGAATTGAAAATGTTCAAAAGTGTGAAGTGTGAAAAATGTTAAGCAATCGCTAATTACAATGTGCTTGTCATGCTCGATGTGGTATTATCGACCGAATAAAACCATTGAAAATTGAAAATGGCAACAATTTTAGTAATTTAAAGGGCTTTATTTTTGTTTACCTGCTCTACCATGAATTCTTTGGTAAACAGGGGCTTCTGCAGTTCGGCCTTGTTAACTTCGGCTACCTTGGTGATAACTTTTTCGGCCTTGTCGAATTTCCCCACGGAGATAAGCCATCTTGCAGACTCAGGTGGCCAGCTTTAAGAGTTGATGATACGTTGTAAATAAGGAATAGTAAATAGAGATTTGTTGTGAGTTTAATTTTCAGCAGTTTTTCTGCAAAATTCAGACAGAGGAAAGAGTTAAAACTTCGAAACCTTCCCTTTCAAATTTGTGTTTGGTTATATTATTTTAGTTGGTTTTTACATAATTATTACAGATAATTATGATATCGTTTTATCAACAATATATTCGAAGAATAGTTTATCAGAATTACATCTGTATATATGTTTTTATCAAACACAATGTAAGAAGAAAGTTTTAAACAAAGTTGGTTCTTACATGAAAAATATGAATAGAAACAGGAGAGGCAGTGTCATGGTTAGCGTTAGAAGGCGCCAGGAGCGAATGTAATAGGCCGGTAGAGCGAGAAACATGTAGCCTACAGCGTAGCTGATTGAGATAACAATCACCAAGGATCGTTTTGATGGCCCAATATACTCCGTCCCTGTTGAACCCAAAGTACAAGGAACATGACATGAATATATCGATAAGTATCCTCTTATTGGCCTTATGCTCAATTTTTATGTTTATATCTACGATTTATCGACTTTAATACTCACATTGTGAATAAAGATACCATTTAAAATTCAAGGCGACGATAGCAAAAATTGGGTGATAACGGAAATCTTTTAATAAAGGAATAAATCACATAGAAGCTAAATGATAACAGTGCCTGGTGTACAGCTCGGTCACAGGTCAGCCAAATAGAAAGACAAGGTCAAATATTGAAATGAAATAATAAATAGACTGTCATTTTGTTTGCCAGTGAGTAATATCAAAATATCTAATTGCAAAGTCGTTGATATACGCCGGGAGTTATACAAATGTGGTTCAAATACTTTGACCTAAGGGAAAAGGGGAGACCACATGAGTGAGAGAAAGAGAGAGACAGAGAGAGAGAGAGAGAGAGACAGGGCGAGACAGAGAGAAGGGTAAGGTGGGGTTCAGATGCGTGTTTAATTGGTTTTTAAAGACATGTATATAAATAGTCAGATAGTGGATCATCACTCGAAAGACATGCCTTTATTGAAAACTCGTAAAGCCCTGATAATTTTTCTCGTGCTTTTTTCCACTATATTTGTCGTTTCATTGCATATTTCTATGATATAATTATTCATTGTATTATGTTTTGCATGAGAAATACAAAATATATAAACAAAATCATTTGAATGAATGATGCACACGGCATGTGACCTAAAGTGGTGTGGCAATATGCTCACCTATAACGAACAAAGTGATGTTGAACGAAATGCTTCCAGAACCAATGAAGAAACGCATAGTGGCAAAGAACCACCAGTTGGGTGAAAAGACAATCGCAACTCCAGAAACAAGCGAAACGAGGTTAGCGAGCAGGTGAGTCCACCAGCGTCCAATCCTGCAGCGAAAGAAAAACCACGACATAAGCATTGCTTGTAAGTATTGGTGTGTACTGCAAGGTTCTGGAGTCATCAAAATCATAACAAAATTGGCCCAGTCTTGGTAAAGTAATAAGCACTGTACACAGAAAGATGTATATGGGACTACATTAATGGTGTCTGGGCTACTTACCTTGATTCCCTTATCTTTCTATGCTCATTACTTAACCAGCATACATTTTCTACCAAAATTGTCTGGCACATGACATTTATTTGTTATCTTGAACATTCAGTGTAAGTTTCGTTTGATTGTGTGAGAATTCATTTTTTTTTTTTACCAGAACTCAAGTATATCTTTAACCTTTCTCGACCCACGTGTTAACGGATATGTGGCAATCGCTTGGGTAATGATAATTGAGGGTCCATCAGGAAGAAGAGCATTCAAGCCGATTAGGCTTCCCTGGGTAGATAACATTTTTTTTCTTTCTTATCAATACTTTTTCATATAAAATGATTACTAACACGTCAGATAGGATACCAAAGAAGATAGATCCTGCTAAGAATCCCCCGTAGTATATAGATTGATATACTTAGGTTAGTTCACCATTGCCACATACAAGATCAAACTGTACAGAACAGAGAGAGAAGAATGAGAGAGAGAGAGAGAGAGAGAGAGATAGAGAGAGAAGGAGGGAGGAAGAGAAGAAAAACAACGAAAACAAGCAGACAGATAGGAAGAGGGGCATAGAAGGTTGGATACGTAAATAGATTGGTAGATATAGATAGATAACATCATAAACAATAATAACAATGAGTATAATAATAATGATACAAATAATAATAATTTTGATAAAAGCAATTGCAATAACAATATCGTAGTATAATAATTATACCTATAATAACATTAGATACAGCAATCCTTAGATAGGTATAAAACTAAGATACCAACGCGTGTGTGCGTGTGTGCGAGAGAACAAATAAGCAAGGTTAGGCAATGGTCTAGTCTCGAAAAACACTTCTATTAACAATGTATATATACTTTTATCGGATCTTTATATGGTTAACACCTTGCAGAGATATTTGCGTATCCCGCTGGATGAAGGACCCAATCCTGTAATCTATTAAAGCAAATACTCATGACTTGTCTGACCGAAATGTAGGAAATTGGATTTATACGTGTTTTTCTTATCCAAATGACTTTGTATAATTTGCATAAAACTGCTGTTAAAAATACGGTGAATGAAATGTAGTTCCTCGATTTATAAGTTTGTTTTGTTATCTTAAGGAAGAATTGTTATATTGTGAGTTTATGTAAAAAAGGAATAAGATTGCATATAATGTGTAATAACTAATTTTTACTTCATTCAAAAGGTGTTTGTATAAGAATAGCGAAATAAGGAGGGATATTTTGTTTATAGAACTGTGATAGGTCTTTATATGTGGGCGCGGGAATCTGCCTGACATAGCAGATACGTAGGCACACATTGCATCTTGTCATGGGCGAAGGAGGTTGTGCGTGTGTCGGGCCGTCTATTAGTGTGCAGCGCCCTTGTTACGTTTTACACCTTTGAAAGAAGTAAGTTGTTTTCTTTAAAAGTCAGTTTGATAGTAAAGATTGTAAGCTTTGATACATGTCTATGAAATGTTTTTATGTCCTTCAGGAGAGGAAAATAAGGATTATTTTGGAAGGAGAATGTATTTGATTTTGTACTTGACAACTTCCGTTAGTCAGAATAGTATGTCTTCATAGGGACATGGTATCCAGTTAATCAAATTACATTGATCGTTTAAATAAATGTTATTACATTTATTCTATATGATGTTTAGATAAATTGTCATTTAAATGGTTAGTGGTTAACGCCTACCTGTATTTAGTGCGTGAATTATTGATTGTAATGATTTCGCCGTTGAGGGCGTATGATGTTAATATTGTGATAAAGATGGCGGCGCCCATGGAATCTTTGTCTGATAATTTAATTGATGGGTTACTTTATGTAATGTGTTATTAGTATACTATAAGGATGTTTTAACGATTTGTTATAGATGACATGCTAGCGAGGTTTGCTGGGAGCTGTCTTAGTGTGGTCTAGCTGGGACTGTCTTGTCTTTTGGGAGCCGGCAGCTGCTCCGGCTTGTATCTCAGAGACCTTGGGTAGGATATGATTTAATATACATACATTGTTTAATTGGTGTAATGTTGTTTATTGATGCATTTTGAATATGTACTTTCATATAATATGTGTTAATTAAAGACAATGATATTGTCTTAATTATTATATTGTCATTGATGCATGATGCCACAGTTAAAACCAACAGTGTGATAATTTACTGTCTGTTTACCTCGCCCACATTGTTGTATACTATCAGATATATGTTGATAAGAATCTATACTTGTCTTGTATTTATGTTTGGCACATCTGATTGATTTGCAGGCCGGGGTTTTCTTCATGCTGATGTATATTGCTGTTCACAAATAAATAGGCTCATCACCCACCCTTCACATTCAAGCTGCATGCATGGTGCCTTACTTACTCCGTATTACGACAGAAACACAAAACATTTCAAGAAATATTTATAAATCATGGACTTTGTGATGGCATGTTAGCATTGTGCTAAAGAAGTTATCCAATAAAGTCTACTACTACCATCACTGTGTTATGAATGGAATTTATGCACACTGATGAACCAAAACAAATCATTAAGTAATTGCAATGTAAAACAAATTATCATTATTCTTCATTCATCAATTCGTACCTGTTGTAAAGACCGATTATTACAAACAAATATTTTATGTAAGAACTGCCAACGATTGGAACATGCATGCAATGTAATCAATAGCCCAACTTTTAGAACCTCACTAAAGATCCATCCCCATATAAAACGAGATATTGGTATAAGTAATAATATTATTATTTTGTCTCTCATAATGTATTCATATTGTCAGTTTTCCATTTATCTACTCATAAACTGTTTGAAATAATAATACCTAATATGACACCTTCGTGCAATTTAATATTCAAATCTCTGATAACTTATTTTTAATAATTTGCTGTCATCAGCTTAAAGTTAACATTCTATTAAATTTCGATTGTGTGTGTTTACTATTTAACCTATGTATTTCTTTGTTTTATCTCGGTTGTATGATCATGTATCTCGTTATATTTGATTACTATTAGCCTATCATTTAATTGGGTCACAAACCTTTCAAACCTTTTTGCTGCATCCCCAGACATATTTTGTTTTTACTGAATGTTTGAATTAATTCCATACAATACAATACAATCAATATAACGGATATTAAAAGTACTTCTGTATTGTACGAATAAGCAAAGAACTATCATCTGGAGATTAGTGTAACATACTAGAGTGTATTCAATTATTGTTCAATTTGATTAATATATTCACATATTCATGAAAGGTGTGTATGGGGGAGGAATTATGTTTAATGAAAGATCTTTCTTCCGTCACTGTTGTCGTGTCGTATTTGCAGTCATCATACACCCATCCACTGTCACATGACATCGTTTCGCTGCTGTAATTGGATGGATCGATCCCAGGCCAGAATCCCACTCCTGACACGTTATACTTCTCACATTGTGCGTACTCCAGCTCACCATCTGATGTGTAGTTTGATGGGATGCTACCTTCCTTCTGGGCTAGTGCACAAGCTTCCTCTGACAACCCGTATTGCTCACATCCAGGAGTCCATTCGGGGGTCTGTTGAAGGTGGATATAGATAAAGATATGATATATCTAAAGCCTTCCGCACACTAAAAAATATCTTTATAATGCGATCCTATTTTCGAAGAAATTTACAATTATATTAGATATAGAAATCTAAACAAACATCATCTTCCTGAATTAGGTTCTTAATAATGATCAGAATGCTAACAACCGGAATTTAAATGCATTTAAACTAATACCAGCCGAATGGGTTTCAAATCGTAGACACTACGGCATATGGCATGGTAGTTTGTTCCAAACTTTTTAGTTGTTTATTTTCAGGAATACTTTTGTTCTATAATATTTCTTTCGAACTGACTTATAAGTACTATCAAGATAGCTCACGACTACGATACCAACGGCCAAATGAAGATGATACCTCGAATCTTATACCGCGTTTCCAAAACACCAAAACTATAGATGTAATTTTTTACAAGACAGAGATTCTTTATTTCTGCATTTGAATCAAATGTTGACCTCTTTGATAATTAGCTTGAAATTTTATGGAAGATGTGCCCGATTTGTAAGGGACAAAGAATCCAAACTTACCTCGCACCAGTGATCGACTGTAGCCGCCAGGAAGACTGGAATCATTGACACCCATGAGGAGAAGAAGACTATGGTACAGGTGATGGCGAACACCCTGCGCTGGTAGGGACCAAACTCACCTAGCTTCTTGAGGAGATCGTCAAGTTTAAACATAACTGCAGGAATGAGATCGGAGCTGAAGCACAGGGTGCGCCTAGACAGAAGTCGCCAATGATCCACTTCTGATATTTATGTTCCCTTGAGTGAAGATATTGAAGATAACTCTAATTAGTAACGTGTACGCATTATGGTTATTAGCCAATAGGCCAGTTCAGACATGTATATTTTTTCATGAATCCTTTTTTCGCTCTAGTGTCGTTGCCGTTGGTGTGACTACGGTAGGAGTGAACAAGATCACAAGTTATGCCCAAGTCACACTGAAATTATACATGGGGACTGACTGTTGGCCACAGGAGTAACGTTATTCTGTTCGATCTGGTGTCGGTCTGGTGGTGGTGTTGTTGGTGTGACTAGTCGGGTATTACTCACGAGTTAGTATTGTAATACATGCATGTTACATTGGGATTGCTTTAGGATTTGCTTTCTGCGGTATACCTCTGCCTAATTCTTGGGTCGTTCAGAAATGTATGTCATATGTGAATCGGTCTATCATGCAATACACAACCTTATTACTTATTATTATTATTTGATTATCCCTCTATTTAATGATCATAATTTAAGGCGAGGGGACGGCCTGCATAATTATACCCCCACATCCTTGAAGGACGAACATTATTTGTAAAATCAATCATATATTTTGACAAAATATATATAAGTGTGTCTTACGGTAGTGAAAATGTTTTTTTAGAAGCTATTAGTATACTAAAAATAAGTTTATAATATTTTGTAATGAGTCAATTTCGTGTGTGTGTGTTCACGCAATAAAAACAATAACAACGAAAACAACAACAGCAGCAGCAAAAACAAACGAAAGTCATTTTGCTTTGGATTTATAGCATATAAATCCTTCATAAAACAATATTTGATTTTCAAGCTTTGATTTCTAACATCAGAAATGCAGAATACGAATATGTTTTCGTACGTTATAGAAATTCTACAAATTCATCATTATTTTCCTCCTCTTCTTCCTTCTCCTCTTTTTCTTCTTCTCCTTCTTCTTTTTCTTCTTGTACTTAATATCACTTCTATCATCAGTTTAATGTTGTTATTATTATTATTATCTTTAATAAGTAGTTCTTTTAATTTTCTTATCTGTCTGTAAATAATACTATTTTAACTTATTAATTTTATACATGTCTGTAAGGGACCCCACTGGAAATAAGCTCTCGAGCTTTCGTGGGTTATCCTGTTATTTTTGATCTGTTATTATTGTATATTGTTGTATGTTGGAAGCTTGTCGAATAAAAATCAATCAATCAATCTTCAAACGTATTCTCTCACATAAAGATTTCGCAAGCTATTAAAATATTTACTTAAGCAATTGCAGACACCAAAAGGGAAAGAGAAGGGAGAGACTGACGGTGTCACCCTAATCCTATCTCCGAAATTTGATGCAAACATCATGAGAACTATCGCAAGAACTTTTTTAAACAAACGAAAGTCAATTTGCTTTGGATTTATAGCATATAAATCCTTCATAAAACAATATTTGATTTTCAAGCTTTGATTTCTAACATAAGAAACGCAGAATACGAATATGTTTTCGTACGTTATAGAAATTCTACAAATTCATCATTATTTTCCTCTTCTTCCTTCTCCTCTTTTTCTTCTTCTCCTTCTTCTTTTTCTTCTTGTACTTAATATCATTTCTATCATCAGTTTAATGTTGTTATTATTATTATTATCTTTAATAAGTAGTTCTTTTAATTTTCTTATCTGTCTGTAAATAATACTATTTTAACTTATTAATTGTATACACGTCTGTAAGGGACCCCACTGGAAATAAGCTCTCGAGCTTTCGTGGGTTATCCTGTTCAAGCTGACTTATTTTTGATCTGTTATTATTGTATATTGTTGTATGTTGGAAGCTTGTCGAATAAAAATCAATCAATCAATCGAATAAAAATCAATCAATCAATCTTCAAACGTATTCTCTCACATGAAGATTTCGCAAGCTATTAAAATATTTACTTAAGCAATTGCAGACACCAAAAGGCAAGGGTGTCGATTTGTATCCGTGGTTGGGGGGGGGGGGATGATAGGTGCCAAAATATTTTCGGCAATGGATCAAAGCAACCAAGAGGTAGAAGCGTGTGGCAGGTTGCACCCCCTCCCCAAGCGCATAGCTAGCATTTCATTTTAGGGGGGGGGGGCGGTAGTGAGCACGCGCAGCGTGCGTATCACTTAAAGAGCACTCCCTAGGGGATAGGGTGCAGGGAGGGGGGGGGGTTCCCACTCCTCCCCGGCGAAGCGCTGAAGCTTTGAAGTTTCATTAGATTATTAGAAAAAGAAGAAGATTCGTCGGACCGTTCTCGACTCTTAATCCTTGTTTTAACTAAGTTCCCATTCCTCCGCGCGTAGCACGGAAGCTCTGATGTTTCATCATCATCATCAACTTCAGGTGGCGCTGTAAAGCGCTGCTGTGGTCTTCACGAGAGCACGCCATGCAACTCTTTCACCTGCCATTTGTGTTGCACCATTCATTCCTTGTCCAGACACTTTCTTGATATCATCAGTCCAAGATATTGGTGGACGACCTCTACCCCGTTTTCCTTCGACTGCTCCTTGCAGTATTTGCTTCTCAACTCCTTCAGATCTCCTAACAATGTGTCCAAAATAGTTTAGTTTTCTCTCCATGATTCCCCTTCTGATGGTCAAGTCTGTTCCAATCTTTTCCAGGACCCACACATTTGTCTTTTTATCTTTCCATGACACATGCAACAGCCTCCTGTAGCACCACATTTCAAAGGCATCAACTCTCTTTCTGTCATTCTTTGTCATGGCCCAGGACTCACTCCCGTAAGTCGCAATAGAGAAAGAAGTTGCTTGAAGCAGACGAACCATGAGACTGAGAGATAGGCCTCGACTCTTCCAGATGTGAGACATATTCTGTACTGTTGATCTCGCCATTGCCATCCTTCTCCTTATCTCTGTGGTGCTCTCTCCTTTGGTAGTGATGATTGAACCCAAGTACTCGAACCGATTTACTACTTCAATCTTATTTGCAGCTATGGTGAAGTCAGTGTTATTATCATCTCTATCGACAACCATTATTTTTGTCTTTTTGGTGTTCAGAAGAAGGTCTTTGTCTTCACTTGCCTGTTTGATGCGGTTTAACAAATCCATCAGCTCTTCTCTGCTGCTGCAAACAAGAGTAGTGTCGTCAGCATACCTTAGGTTCGTGATCTTTTTACCTCCAAACTTGACTCCCCCATTGAATCCTTCCAGAGCATTTCTCATAATGTCTTCAGAATAAATGTTAAAAAGGTTCGGAGACAGTATGCATCCTTGACGTACTCCCCTACCAATTCCAAACCACTCAGTATTGCCGTTACTGGTTCTCACTGTTGCTTCTTGGTCATGATAGAGGTTTTTGATCAGTTCGATGATGTGACTTGGGAACCCCATCTTTGCCATTGTATTCCACAATTGAGAGTGGCTCACACAGTCAAATGCTTTGCTATAATCTATAAAGCACAAATAGAGGGGATGTCTGTGTTCTCTGCATTTCTCTATTATGTTTCTAATGTTGACGATCTGTTCTCTTGTCCCTCTACCTTCACGGAACCCTGCTTGCTCATCTGCGATCTCGGCTTGCAGTTTCATTTTCATTCTTCTGCTAATCAACTTCAGAAGTATTTTGCTTGCATGGCAAATCAAGCTGATCGTTCGGTGATTTGCACATTCTTTCAGATCTCCCTTCTTTGGCAATGGTATAAAAACAGCCCTACACCAGTCCTTAGGCCACTCCCTACTTTTCCAGATATTGCAACATAGACGCCACATCAGGTCAGTACCTTCTTCACCTGTAGCCTTCCACATCTCGGAAGTCAAGTTGTCAAAGCCCGGGGATTTGCCATTCTTTAGTTGTTTCATTGCAAACTCCACTTCTGATCTTAATGGAGGGGGCTCCATTTCATCACTTTCCTCCCACTGAGTGTCAACTTGTTCCTGTGCAGCAAACAGCTTGGTACTATACTGCACCCATCTTTTCTTGATGTCTTCATTTTCCGTCAATGTTTTGCCATTGTCATCATTAATTACATCTAGTCTTGGGGTTCTTTTCTTTGTGATTTCTTTCACAATTGCAAATGCTGCCTTGGAGTTGTTATTGTGACTCTCTAGGTCCTCACACTTCCCCTCAATGTATTTCCTTTTGTCCTCCTTCACACTACTTGTAACTTCCTTATTGAGTCTCGACCATTCTCCTCTATTGTGTTTTGCTTTTGCTCTCTTCCTGTCATCAGCAATGTCGAAAGTCTGATTTGAGATCCATGGTTATTTCCGCTTCCTTTTCTTTGGGATGTGGTTCTTTGTTGCATTTTCAATTGTTTCTTTCATGTCTTCCCACAGCTCATTCGGTGTTTGCTCTGCTTCATCGTTTCTCAACAGCAGCTCAAACTTGTTCTTCACTTCCACTGAGAATTGAAAAGGGATATTTTCAACATCATACGTTGTGGGAGCTGAATCACATTTCTTAGCTTTCAGTCTTAGTCTCAGTTTAGCCACAAGCAGCTGATGATCGCTGCCACAGTCAGCACCTGGTCTTGTCTTGACGTTCTGTAGTGAGGTCCGCCACCTCTTCTTGACCATGATGTAGTCTATCTGGTTTCTGGCTCTGTCTCCCGGACTCATCCATGTCCAGAGTCTTCTGGGATGATGCTCAAACCTTGTGTTACCAATGATGAAGCTGTTCGCTACACAAAATTCTTCCAGTCGATCACCTCTTTCATTTCTGATGCCAAGACCATAATTGCCAATGTACTCAGATTTTTCCCTCGTTTTACCAATCTTGGCATTCCAGTCACCCAATATTATGAGGAAATCTTTCCTAGGAATGCTGTCTACGACATCTTGTACCATCTCGTAGAAGTCAGTGATTTCTTCCTCTGCTGTTGGTGCATATACCTGAATTATGGAGATATTCATAGGATGCCCTTGTAATCGCACAGTCATGTTTCATTAGATTATTAAAAAAAGAAGACGATTCGATGTACCATTTTCGACTCTTAATCCATGTTTGAATCAAGTTCCCCTTCCTCCGCGCGTAGCGCGGAAGCTCTGACGATTCATTAGATTATTAAAGAAAGAACACGATTCGATGTACCATTCTCTTCTCTTATTCCTTGTCTGAATTCATTTCCCCCCTTCCTCCCGCGCGAAGCGCGGA